ACTTCCTGGGTAGAATTATGCCCCTGCAGTTGAAAATTATAAATACTTCAATGATAATTATTTAATCTGTTTGGTTTTCTTTCCCTTTTCTACCTGCTAGTATTTTATTTTATAAATTTGACAGACCAACTGGTAAGAACCCTACAATATACTTTGTCCACCAAGGGATGGAGAAGGTGATAGAGGCCACAAAGGTTTATCAAATATTTTTGTTATAAATATTTTTCTATTATTCAGTAAAATACTCTAGGTCATTAGAACTTACTGCTGATTTCAAGCAGTACCTGTTTCTGTAACCTTAAGAGAAGCCAGCTTGTTCATTAGAACTGTGTTATATATCACATATAATCATTCAGAAATCATCATATTTGCTCCCTTACAGTCTCCTTAACTGTAAACCTTTTTTTTTTTTTATAGCTCAGAAATAAATTCTAGATTTTATATTCATCTTATTCACTGTGAATAATATGAAGGATTATTGTGCAGTAAAGACCCATAGATACTAAGCCATGGCAGAGCTCTGTGAATCTTCTTGTAATTACAACATTAAAATCAGTGAGGTTTTACTTATTTCTTTGCAATATTTTCTTCAGTGTGAGTGATCACTGAGCAGTGTGATCTGATTTTCAGAGGTGTTTGATACCTCTGGGCTTAAGTCATAATTTAAAATAACCTGAAAATCAGTTTGTTGCTGTATTGCAAACATATCTCTTGACCAATTACACTAGATGTAGATTGATTATTTGATAGATTATTTTAACTGTTGCTTATATTTTGGAATTTTCTAAAACCATCAGTAACTCTGGAAGACGAGTATAAGTTAGGTGAATACTAAGAAATATCACTGTCAAAATTATGGCAATAGGCAACTCTCTCTTTGAAAAATATCTTGTGCAAATATTGCTGCAGGTTATTAAATGCTTTAAAAAGTTAGGTCAGCAGTGTTTGTGTCAATCACAATTCGTTTGTATGTGATCCAAAGTATTTGCAAAGGCAGAGCACCTCTTACCTAGGCCATGTCTGTGTGTTGACATAGGAGGCATTATAGTCCAGACTTTTGTGATAGGGTTGAAACATTCAACAATGTTAGAAGTTTTCAGACCATCTCGTCCTCCCACAATGTAGAGCTTGTTGTCGATTACTGCAACTCCAAACTGTAATCTTCGACCGTTCATGGTACCAATTTGTACCCAACTGTTAGTCCTGAGGTCATATTTTTCAATTGTAGTGGTACCTGTTAAAAATGTAAGTATTATGAGATAGTCAGGAAGTGACCAGTACCCAGCAGAAAATAGTCAGTACAAACCAAATCGTTATTAAATTGTAACACACTGAAATTCTGTGTATGAACTTTTATTGTGGCTCCCTGGGAGCTTCAGTTATGAAATGGGAACCTGGTAAGAAAGCTGCATTAAGTGCATGTGTGTATGGTTGTCACATTTATTAGAATAAACCAGGGGCAAAAAGATCAGAACTAAATATCAGTACATTTTTTTATACTGAAAATTTTGGAGTCAAGTTAAATCTTACTCATTTAAATAAGGCAAGGGTAGAGTTTTTGTGATTGTGGTTGTCATTGTTGGTGTTTGTTTTTTTTTAAATTCCTTATTAATATGGTATCTCATAACTATGTACTCTTTAACCATGTTTGTGCTTAAACCACGAGTGATATCAAAACCTGAAAATGTATCCATGTGTCTGCCTGGCTTAGGACTTGGGCATGTATCTTCATTAATAGTTTGGATATTTTCCTTTTTATGATGGAGACAGGCAGAAGATCAAGTGTTTTGTGAGCCCACAGGTAGCTTCTCTGAGGTTCACCTTTGCAGCTGCCTTGCAATAACTGCTTGTCTGCTGTAATAGATAAGCTGTATTTTCAATTTTTTCAGGTCACTGAACTTCTAGTAATGTTTTTACTGTAACAAGTGGCTAGCTCTCTGCCATTGAAAGCTGACACTTGGCCGTGTGCTGGCTCCTGTCAGTCACTCAGCAGCTGTAATTGCTCCTTTGAGAGTTGATTTAGCACAGTGAGGAGATGGCTGAGAAACAACCAAGGTAGAACAGGGAATTGGCAGTTGCACATGCATTGCACCCTGGAGCTCAGCTCTAGCTAAACTGAAAGGCAACCAGATAAGAAAAACAGCACTCATTTCCTACCTCTGCCTTGACTAGGATTTTAGACCAGAGAAGTAATATTTTTTGGCTGAGGAGTTATTTACATCAACAAAACGGCCATGCAGTAAAGCAGAGGAGAAAGGTAGCATTTGGTTTAGAGATGTTTCACAAGTAGAATCTGCTAGAGATCATCTGCTATACTCAATAAATGTAGTGAAGTAAGAGCTTATCTCATGATACCTTTTCTCTCCTCTATGTGCTTTTCCAGATGCATAGACTGGAAAAGAAACTAAGAGATCCATCTGAAATAAAAGAAAGAAATTCTGCTTTTTCCCTTCTCCTGTCTTCATTTATTCTGAGCAACTGAGTTTCTTTGACTGTGCTTTCCATTTTGTTAGTCTGTTTGCTCTGCTTTGATTCCTTCCTATTTGTTCTATGCTAATACGTGAGTGCCCCAAAGTTCTCAGCTTCAAAAGAAGCATCTCACATAGTAACTAAAAGCAGGAAAAACACATTAAAGTATCCAGTTTGTTCAGACACACCCTGTAGGCTGTGATTTTTACAGGGGCTTGAAGGCAGGTTTTCAAAGATAATGGGGCTTAGGCACATTCAAATTTCTCAAAATACCAGCCCAAAAGTGGCTCTTTGATCTTCTTTTGATCATTTGTAGTTGAGTTCATATACTACCTGAGATAAGCACAAAGCCCAACCTGGTGTTCCCTGAGTGTTTGTTTTATCACAGAAAGCGTATGATTGCTAGAGGCAGTAGCTACTCCCTTCTCAGAGCTTTCTTCCAGTGCATCATAGCCTCTTAGATGCTGTTTCCTTTATCTTCCAGTCCAGCACAGGCTCAACTCATGCGTCAGAGGACAGCAGGGAGGAGAGGAAGTGCTGTTCTTCTTAACCATCAAAAGGCAAAAGTTCAAACAATTGGCTTTATTCCAAGGTAACAAGTAAAAGAGGCACCAACAGGAAGTGCAGTTATTGACTGAAATAGCCCTTGTTTTGCATAACCTTTACTGAGAAAAGCCTTTTAGAAAATTTTATTCTCATTTTATTTGAATTTAAAGATTAGCTTTAATTCTTGATTGTTGTATATAACTGATAAATAATCAGTATCATTGACTATACTAATTGCTACAGTTTAACTTCATTTTGCTGAAGTGCCCTATTTTCATGTGGTGATGGCGACAAATGTGTATTTTGTATTGGATTGCACAGAGACAGTAAGGTGGCCCTGCAAGATCTCTCATACAGGAAAAATCAGTCATCAGCAACTTTTTGCAAACCGTGAAATGGATTAGCTTTTGTGCCATTCTGTTAGCAGTGAACTCACACAGCTAAAAGTTACCATGTTCAGCAAGTTGCTGGACGTTAAACTAATTAGAGTTCTTTGGCTCCAAGCTGTGGGTTTGAAGTTAAGGTTCCTGTAGAAAATTATTTAATATTCTGCCTACTAAATAGAATAGTGTAATGTGCAAAGCTGTAAGCTGATTGCAGTTGTAAAAACTCAAAAAATAAAATCTGGAATATAATTGTAAGATTTAACTTTCAACTACAAACCCTGTGTATGAAGTCCTGAAAAAAAGCTGCACATACTGTTACATTAATGAATTTATAATGAACTGATAAGCTTTAGCAAAGAGTTATCAATAGTTTTGGAATGCTTTTTTGGTTTTATTTTCCTCCTCTGAGCCTCTAGCTTGTTAAAACATGGAGCACAGGGTTCTAAAACAACATTAAAAGAATCTTGACATATTTTGAAAATTATTTTTTTCTTCTGATTTGTAAAGTCAAACTCTTATAAACACTCTTATAAAACTTAACCTTAAAATCACCATCTGAATCAATTTTTTCCAGTCTGTCCTTCAGGATGTATATCTTATACCAGTATATATTTTAGAAGCATATGATTCTTGCGAGAAGAAAGAACATCTGACAAGTAGGATTGTGTTCTGTGATTATTGTTTTCCCCTCTTTTTCATTCCTAAATTGCTGTTTTTCCTAACAGAAGTCTTTAAATCATTGCCATATATTTTCTGGGTGTCTGTAATATAAATAATGAATACAGTTGATTTCTGAACTTACCTTTAGTGGCATCCATACCTCCTACAGCATAGAGTGCACCCACTGTAGATTTTCTAGGCTTAGTTCGAGGACTCTGCATCATGGACCGTCTTTCTGGTAACAGATGGTACTTCATAGCCTCCATGAGAAGCTTTTGACACTCTAGGTCGTCTGCAAACATTGGGCTGTTTTCTAGGTCAGCTAGTAACTGAGAAACAGTAAATCAGGATCTTATGTACATCTAAATCATTAAATTATATATACTTCAATGATTAAATTGTTTGTAGCTACAAATACTCATTTTCCATTCACCTCTCTGTTGAGTTTTCTGAGATTAATGCCAGCAAAATGATATAAAGGTAGGAAAAAAGTCTTTATGTATGATGCTTTTGTTTTATTTTTTCCAAAAACTTCCTTCTTCCCTGTAGAAAAGGTTAAATTTCAAATGTAGCACTGCACCCTCTGAATGCAACATTTTTTTCAATGTGAATTTAAGCAAATCTAACTTATAGTACTGGTCATCTCTGTGAATATTAGAATATATTAAATGAGGCATATATTTAAAACAAAATGCCTATAGGATTTTGATACTTAATCCAGAGTTGAATATTTGCAGCTTCTCTCATGGAGATCCATAAAGTAGTTGTAGTCTTGACATTCCTATAGGTCAGCTTGCTGTAAACTAGTACGTCCATCTCTGAAACTTGTTCAATCAAGTGTCTCTTACAGTCTTAAAGGATAAATTATGTCAATGCTCAGAACAGTCAGCAACAATCTAGACCCTTTTGGTTTTGTCTGCTTTCTGTGGCAATAAAGAATTAAGTATTGTGCCTTATCTGTCCTGCAGTTCAGTAAATCTAAATAAATCTTTGCCTGCTATCTAAGGAAAACCTCTACTTTTGGTACCCAACAAAGAAACCAGACCCTTTCCACAGAATTCTTTTCTGTGTCTAAATGGTGCTTGAGGCAAGCACTGCAGGTGTTCAGGTTCCCTGCTGGCCCTTCCCTTCCATACCTGGGGAGGAAGCAGGGGCAGCCTGATGTAAGAAAGCAGCATTCCTAGGTCTCGTTGCCGGTTTTGCAGATCATGCCTCACCCACATCATCAAGGCCTGGAATATGGCTTCTTCATCTGGAACGTTGATGTCATCGCTAGACAAGAGCTTTGCAATTTCATTAGCAGGGAGCAGAAGAAATTCCTGGTTTTTTATTACTTCTATGAAGTGTTCCTAAAAAGAAAAGAAGGTGTCAATGCACTGATGATTTTCACACCTTGAAAGGATGTTTTCTTAGATAATGTAGACTTTGCATTTATTTAATTCCTGTCCTGCTCTATGGAGCAGGGAGCCACAGTATTTCTTCTGAAGATCACTGAATCTGCTGCTGCCACATAAGGGAGATTTTGTTTGCTCTTTGCTGCCTCACTCTTGCAGGACTGAAGGACAGCGCACATCTTCACACTGCCATGCTTACAGATGTGTTTGGCAGGCTTATTGTCAGGATGGGCCTGTCCTAGGGATTGGTCACTGGCAGGTTAGTCCATCAATGTGATCTTAACACTGCAGCTTAATAGAAAAACTCTTTAAAGACATAATGTGTAGTTAAGAATGCCAAGAGAACATTCAAATAAAGTCTGTAACTTCTGTTGCAATTAGATTGAAAATTTTTAAGCAAATTACATGGAAATCTTCAAATCCTTTTGCAATGACCTGCACCAGACATTGACTCTATGTCTGTGCTCTTAGTAACAGAAAATATAGCAAGGGAAATTAAACACACTTTTCCACAGTACTTTTTTGGCAATGGAAAATTGTTTCAACAGAGGGGTCTCAGTGTTTAAGTTATTGCTGTGATAAAACTCAGCAGCCCCAGAAATGGCCACAAATATTAAATCCCTAGAATCTTTCCAATAATTATTTTTGATAAAAATAATACATTGTACAGTCAAGTTAACAGAGTATTGGAATTGATATTAAAATATAAGTGCACTTGCTTGTGCTAATTCCAAAGCAAAAAAAGAAATTTTGTTAAGAGAGATAAGGTTTTTGTGTTACTTGTAAAAAAGTGCATGTAGGAATTCATGTCTGTATTTGAAACCTTAATTTCCATCTATGTACCTGGAAGTAATGTGTCTTATCTGGGAACCAGTTTGAAATTGGGTTGATGAAGACATGTTAGTAACTGGTATTTGTATTATTTGTTTTCAGTAGCTTCTCAGCTTTCTGTAACTCTTTTCAAGAGTACCAAGGAAGTAAATACAGAAGTATCACTGGTTAAAGGAGATGTTAACTTTGCTCTGCTATGCATATCCTGCTTTAATATTTTGTGACATTCAGAGAATAGGAACAGGAAGGCCAGTCCACACTTCATTACAAATTTAGCACAAGATGTTTATCTGAACAAGCTCTATCTGCACAAAAAGATACCAGGCAGGAAACTGTTAATACTTTGCATCAATGGCTGAAGTATTTGAAGGGGAAGGCCTCCATTGTTTCTGGTTTTATTGAATGGATGTGGTGTTTATAGCTTATCTTATGAAAATGTTTAAGTACTCCTAGGGTGGATGTGGTGTTTATAGCTGATTATCTTATGAAAATGTTTAAGTACTCCTAGGTCATTTGAATAGTCTATCACAGTCTATCTACAGTACCACTTTATAGACTTCCCTCTAAGGTGTGCATTTTCAAGTGTCTGAGGCTGGCATGAGACGAGAATGTTGTATTTATCCTCTTCCACAACACTTCTGTGTGTGTGTGCATTTTCTTCTTCTCCAAAGGTTTTTAAAATCAGTTCAATTATTACTTTTTAAGGTTATTTCAAATTGGTGCAGATTTTCTCTTCTGCCTTAAATTTGTTAGTAGCTGCAAACTTGATAGGTGGTTTTATGACATGCAAGCTGTTCTTTCATGGCAGCATTCTCAATTTGTGTCACACATAAGATAAGGGAGGTGGTTCTAGAGCTGAAAATGCTCCCAGTTATTTTCAGGAAGATAAAGAGCACATGTAAATGTGTGCAGTACTGCTGAGTCTCATAAGTACACTGTGATCCTTCCCCTTAGACACTGCTCTTAATCTGTCATTTCTATGACACACATTTTTAAAATACACTAAAAGTCTAACTCCTGGGGAAGACTGGAGGATACAAATGGTTAAAAAAATCTATTCAAAAAAGGCTCTGGTTGTCTGACAATTTCAATTTTTGCAGAAACCTAGACCATGAATTTTAGGACAATGCTATTATATAGAGGTTGAGAGAACCTTTGTCTTAAATGCCCTCTCTCGAACATTAAAATATAAAAGGAATCTAGATGGTTGCTAAACAAACCATTTATTAGTATGACAGGAGGGAGCACAACCAGTGCCCTCAATCCGCACATGCCACACTCATTTATCTCAGGATGTGGAAGTGTACAATCTCTTACTGGAATGCTCTCAGCATTAAGAAGCCTCCAAACTGGTTTTGACAAACTACGCCAATATTTCAAGCATAAAGCTGCCATGTGTCTCCTAACAAGAAAATCTTTTTATATCTATTTAGCTGTAACAGTTGCTATTCTTTTTGTGTGTAGAGTTGCTGTAGCAGATTTTGTTGCTCTGAGTATTTTTTCCCTTGATTTGGTTTCACAGCAAGCTCTCTAGCTTCTCTGTTTGCCACACTCTGAATATTCATTTCTTGCTTTCAGCCAGAGGAGGATTATGCTCTAGTCAGGGATATGCTGCTTTTTAGCATTCCAGATCTTTCCCATATGTTATTTTGGTTCTTTTTCTGTGTATCCAACCTTAAAATCAGCTCTAGCCTTTTCTTTGTATTGAATCAAAGCATAGGAATGGGCTGTTGCTGTTGCCTCTTGATGTTAGTCACGTTAAGGCCCTGTTACATATTTTGGAAGAAAGTCATACAAACCATACTGCAAATTTAACCTCAGTAAGTTTGTCCTACAAGGCAAAACAGAACTCAATTTTTTCTAAGTATGCTTTTGTCTCCCTTCAATACTTCTGTAACAGTCACATTTCTTAAATTTCCCTTTGGAGTCTGAGCTGGGCAGAGATGGAGGCTTAACAGAGCTGGCCCTGCCAGCTTAGGAAGAGCAGACCCATTGCTGCAGCCATGGAGAGAGCAGCAGCCCTGAGCCCACTCAGCTGGCTTTGCTTCACCACAGCCCATATGTTTTGCAGCTGAGTATTCCCACTCGCTGTTAAAATTATAATTACAAAGCAGTTTGTTCTCCTTACCATAGTGTATGTGTGGGCCACCTTCAGGAGCTCTGTGCAGCCCTGAGCATCTCCGAAAGAGCGAATCCCCAGGCAGTTGGAAGGATGGAGCTGCTTCATGAGGAAGTTGCAGCATACCCCAATAACCTGGGAGAGCTGGAGAAGACAAGCTGCAGCTAGCAAACTTTCTATAGTGTCTTCCTTTAACTCTAGAATACCTGTGCAGTTTGCATAGAGGGGGGAAAAAAAAGTTGTCAGTAATAATCTTTTCTATTTTTATTTACTTGAAAGCTTCCCACTCCCATTTTTCTCCTCTTCTGAAAAGTTTTGAAGTGTCCTATGATGCATAAATCATCCTGAAGGATTCTTTAAACACACTTTCCAGCCACACTTCCCCAAGCCTGGAGGGGTGCCTGGGGTTGTTGTGGCCCAAGGGCAGGACCTGGCACTTGGCCTTGTTAAAGCCCAGACCATTAACATTAGCCCAATGACCTGATCTATCCAAGTCTCTCTGTAGAGCCTCCATATTCTCATGCAGATCAACACTCCTGCTTAGCTTGGTGTAATCTGCATTATTTTTATTAATTAAGCTTATATAACACAAAAGAACTTCAGTATCAAAAGCTAGGAAATGCCAGCAATATGTGCAGGAAACTTCATTTCTCAAATATCATCTACTTGTGCATTTAAATGTTTAACAATATTATTACATGACATGACATGCACAATTTTTATGCTCCTAGATGGACTGAAAGTTTTAATTCTGTCCTGAAAATAGAACTGTGGGGTCTTTTCTGACTGCATTTTTCATTTATCATTACAACCTCCAATTGCCTCAGAAACATTTAATTTCTCTTCCAGCTTCTTCTGCGAAAGGGTGATACACACCATCTCCATGTAATATGGGTACAAGGGTGGTGTATTGAGAGAGTACAGTAAAAAATTAGCATCAAAGTAGAACTGTGAAAGGGTTCTTGTCTCAAGTTCACTGATTAATTTTAATAGAATATGTAAACACATCTGAAATTGTTAGCTCTCATCTTTGAAAGTCCCATTCATATCTCATTGCAAAGGGAAAAAGGCACACTCAGTTTAGAGGGTGGGTTATCATCACATGAAAACCGATGAAAATTCAGTTTTCCATAGCAGTCTCCAGCAGTCTTACCTTAGCACAATTCCATCTATTCCTGATGTCCCTTGCTTTGAAATTTAAATAATATCTTCCCAGTTCTGTGGGAAATGAGGCAGGGCTAGCAGGGTGCAAAATGGGGCAATGTTTGGGTTTGTACTGTACAACTCGGAATAGTTACTGCACGAGCCTGTGATCTGTACTTATCTTGTAAATCGAGATTGCTATCTCAAGCCTTGAAGCAAAAAGCACATCCTGATTTCAGAAGTAAACTCACCCTGTTTCATAGCCTGCCATTTGTTTTTGTGGTCTTAATTATGTTCTTTCCTATGGTTTTGCATTCAGTAAACTGACAGAGCTAAAGTTTGCTCAAGTGGGATGATTTTGAGATACATGTGGATAATGAGCAGACCACCACCCAGCTTCTTTGTGCTTGTACTAATCTATTTCCTTGGGTAATGTATGCTAATTCAGTGCCACAACAGCACTGAATTATACATGTTATGCAGCATTCCCTCTGGCTCTCCATATTTATTCCTTGTTCGTACCCACAAACAGGGTCTATTTTGTATATAGAAACTTATTTGATCTGGGTTGCAAATTGCTGAACCTTGTCTTTATGGAACAGTCCAGATTTATGAAGTGCCTGACCTAGCAAGTGAAGAAGTCTCCTATTTTTAACATTTATGCTAATGCAAATATGGTGAATATATTGGGGTCTTCGTTTTGCTTTTGTCTTTTAAGAAAATAATTTATTTTAAGCTCTTGCAAGGAACTATAAAAATGGCAATACGTATCTGTGATACATCTTCCAGCTTCCCCATCTCTGTATTAAAATGGTGTTATTTCATTCAAAAGCATAAAAAGTAATGTCCTTTGTGAGACACCCAGTGACAAAGATCTAGTTGTTGATAACAGCTCTTAGCTGAAGGGACGGATCAGTTTGCATGCAAATATTTGAAAATTCAGAACGTTGTTGTTCTGCTGAGTTCAGTTGTTACTTCCTGGGGGATTCATATTCACCTTTTGAGATCTGGGCAAGTGTTTCCTCACAGAACTGCACAGCTTGGTGGGGCAAAAATGTTTTTTCTTTACCTCTCTGGCTGGAGTAGCTGTCATTTGCATTGAGGGGCTTGTCAAAGAGCAAAAAGTGCAGACTTGCAGACCCTTTGGAGGTTTGAATGATCTGGAAGTTTCCAATTGCAATATACACTAACACAGTGGTCACATTCTATAGCCTTTCCCTCTTCCCTATAGAGCAGATGAAAGGGATTTCAGAGTTCTCTGGCTTAGTCTTTTTGGCTGTATATATACACAGCATTCTGTTATTAAAATATGTAATTTCATTAAGATAAGATCTCCATAATTTTTCAAGAGAACATAAGCAAACCTTTTTCAGAATGTGGTAGCACTTTCTCATGGTAAAAGTTGGTGTGCTCGTGGGTGTGATCATATTTCTGTTTTGCTGTGATAATCCCTACTCAAGAGCCTTGATTGACCCAAACAACCACCCCCCCAGCAGAGCATTTCTGTAGCTCCTGATGTGTGGAAGGTTCATAGTACACCCCTCTGTGTCACTACGTGGAGTAGGCAACAGGCAAAACATGGTCTTCTCACATTAAAATTCCTAAAATAATTAGTATCTAGTTAGAGACAGATGTCCAGTATGAATGTGTATGTTAACTTTCCTGTGTATTTTCCAGAATAAGTTGTTATATAAACCAGTAATATTTATTCATCCTCTCTAGGGAAAGGTTTACATCACATATGCATGATATATACATGATATATACATGTGTTTCTCTACTAGTGGGAAACGGAAGATGTGACAATTCTGCTTGCATTGAATGGGTTTTCTCTTCCTGTAAAACAGAGAGGGCAGTGGAGGGAGAATTACCTGTGTAGGCGTAGCGCACCAAGGCTTGCAGAGCATCAGGGTCCACTCCCTCCATCTTGATCTCCTCTTGTTTGGCTTCACGCACATCATTAGTAAACATTGCAGCAAAATAATCAGATGCTGCACTGAGAACCAACCTTGAGATAAAAGCATTTTAAGAGGACTGCAAATTATTTGATAATCTCAATAGTAAGCATGAAATGCAGTATTATTATATACTACGTTGTGTGTGCAAGAGAAACATTCTCTTTAACATGTGACTCAAATCTCATAGCAGTGAGCAGTAGTTAAAAGGGTTATTAGTCATCTGATTTTCTCCCATCGTGCTTGTTTGGGCAGATTTTTTTCACTGATCTCACTATAGTTTTACATTAACAAGAAGGGAAGAGTCACAACCAACATCAATGCTTCATATTTGAATTTCATTCTGTTTGAAATAATAAATATGAAGCATCAATCACATTATTTTATTCCATTGTTAGTTGATGCCCTAATTTGGTGACTGTTCATTCCTAAATAAATTGGGTAGGCATAAATTGACCTAGCATTTGGAAATTCCAGTCTTTGAAGCCATGTAAACAGTACTGGGAAATGTACCTGTGAGCTGGAATCTTTTGGTCACCAACTATGAGAAGAACGTCACACAGCTGCTTCTGCTGCAGGTAGTTCTCCATCTTGCGGAAAGTTTGCTCTGCGTGGTTTGTAGACTGGAAATACTCATCTGAGCCATTGGTGTTCATTCCAAGCAGGGAGCTACTGGTCGTTGACAGTCTGCAAGGGCAAGAGGTTATGTGAGGAGTGTAGCATTATAAACCCTAGTTGCCTTCTTCATACAGTTTTTGTTCAAATGGCATTACAGAAAAGTTTAAATTACAGAGGTCTGATGATTCTGGTCTACTCAGTTTCCTTGTGGTTTTTTTTTTTTTTCCGTTTGGCATCTGCAAGTTTTCATTTATAAGGCTGCATGCTAACTGTATTTTACAACAGTTACATGTAGTAAGTGCTACTGAGTTTTCTACTTACCAGTTTTGTGTCAGTGATCCGCTGTTTGCACAGCATTGACATGTGATAAATGCAGCCTCCTGATCACTGACAAAGACAATACACAAAAACGTATTTCCCAGTGATACTAATATCTAAAGTATCTTGGGGTATGAAATATTGGATATTAGATGTCTTTAGATCTTATTTCTGTTTCTCTCCATACTTTGTACATTCCATTCCATTGCTTCATGGCAATGAATCAGAAGACAATTTAAAAAGGACCATATAATTGTAGAGAAATCACCAAACCAAAAGCTGATGAAATCAGTACATTATGTAGCCTTTAGAACCTGAATGCAAATAATAATGACAAAAAGTAATTTTCTACCTTTTCATGGAAATGTACATTAAAAGATAATTTCCCCCCTCCAGAATAAGTACTCCACTTATAAGGTACCCTTAAAAACTATGTACAAAATTCATCTATCTCAGCATTTTTTAAACAGACCTTTTCATATTGATTATGTTTCAGACTGAAACATAGTTTTTTATATTATCTTAGAAAAATCTTTTTATATTCATCTGTTTTTAGTAAAATAGTAATGCATTTGTTGATATACATGTCTGTCACACATCTCAAAATACTGCAGTCTTCACCACTCTTTCAGTTAAAGGTTTTTTTAGAAAAGTGTTTTCCTACTTTAATATCATATATTATTGAAATGTAAAGCACCTGTTTTTAAATTTCAAAGCCCAGCTAGGATATAATGGCAGCTGGTTGGCTAAAATTGCCAGTTGTCTTTGATGCTGTTAATGCATATTCATAGATTATGTCTCTTCGAGAAATTAATGTATTATATTTAGCAGAGGAGTGGATTACATTCACAATTGAATATCTAGCTCAGAAAATACAGAAACAAAAATGGGTAAATCAGGTTGAATCAGTAATATTATCAGAAAGCAGAAATAAGTTAGATCATACATTTTCAAAGATCATACTTCATTAAATAGCTAATCAGAATTCAAGAGGAGTCATGAGAAATCAAATTATAATGTAGTATTGAATAGAGACACAATTGTTTTCTGTCCTTTCTGCAATACAGGAAAGTTACTGTACCTCAGTGCTTTTCAGAACAAAATCACAGTTGGTGTGGCTGTTGTGTGTCTAGGTTTTTCCAGACATATCTCACTTTTCCATCTGAAAATCTATTAATAGGAAGTTTTCTGGATTTCTGTACTGCATTTATGGACATCCCCCAGCCCCTTTGGCATATGGCACTTTTGGGCACTGGTATGTCAAAAGCCTTCAGATCTCCAGTGTGTGTGATGCCTCTCAGATGCAGCAGAGTTCCAGGTGTAAGCTCAGGGTGGGCTCTGCCAGACTCAGTGGCTGGTGAGGTCCCTGGGGGTCTGTAGAGACCCTTTATCTCAGGTGCAGGGTCTGTGCAGCTCACCCGAGGAGCAGCAGAGCTTGTGCTGCTGCCCTCGCTGCCCTGTGTGTGCTGCGCGGCACCTGCACGCTGTCCCTGCCTGGGCACTCAGCTCATGCTCCTGATTGCAGACACAGGGAGCTACACTGAATCAGGGCAAGCAACTCTCTAGATTTCTTGGTCTTTAAACTTTATTACAACGTCAATGCACTTTAAAAAACAAAAAACAAACCAAAAAAAAAAGGGCAACTGAAGTTCACCTATAATGTGTGTTCTTTGTAGTTTACAGCTTACAAAAATTAATTTGTTTCAGTGAGTTTAATGACCATACTTTTTTATTTGTTTTCCTTCAATGTTACATGGAAAATGAAGAAGCTGCAAAATTGGATTATATGCTCATTAGTTTTGCATGAGCTACTTGATGCCAAATTCATACTCTGTAAGATTCATGTTTTGCTACTTACCTCTTCAGCTTACTGTAACATTTATTAGAAAATTATTTTTTCAAAAAAATCTTTTTCAGATCCATTATATGGGCTCTAAGTAATTAGGTATGCAATATATTGCACTTATTCTTGATGTTTGCAGAACTAACATAAAACTCTACCATGCCCATTGCAAATGCACAGAACATTTTTGTTGAAATAAGTAATTTCCCTTTGTGTATATATTTGTGCAGAGTGACCTTTACGTACAGCAGAAATACCACTACATTAATTATTTCAAAGATTCAAGTCTTCAGAGACTGAAAAATACTGGAAGCAAAAAACCCTGCTCCATTAACTTTGGTAACATTAATATTCTAATTGCCGGCTTACCTGTAGCAGCTGATTCGAAATGGTGTAGTGGATTTTGGAAGAGAAAAAATAAATTCAAAGATAAATATTTATATTTTTCATTAGCGTATGACTGTTACTGCAGAGAATGAAAATACTGACCTTTAGAATACAGTGCTGGGGATAAGTGAACTAAAGACAGAGGTTAAAGTACGTGGAAAAAAGAAGTCAGTAAAAACCCTTGAGTCTGATGCCTCTATGTTGAATTGTAATAGGGGATGATGTAGTTCAAATGTGCTCGCAGGAACGTGTGTCTGCCTGTCACACCTTGTTCTGTGTGGTTAATGTGTTGAAAATAGCAGAGAGAGAACTGAGGGCTCATCTGAACTAACTCAGGAAGCACGTAGAAGATGGAGAGTTTTCTATAAAATGAGTGCAAGTTCGGACAAACAAAATCTGAATATTGAGTAATAGAAGTTTCTAAAACTGCATTAACCCTGTGATGACCAAGGAGTGAGTTTGCCACTCAGTCAGGAGGGAAAATCATGAATGAACTGGTCTGAAGAATCAGAAACCCGAATTGCTTCATGTCAGCTTTTTATTAGTATTCACTAGGATGCTGAGTTGTGTTAACACCATTGAAATTAGTGATAATGGCTTAAGAACATGGATTAGCCTAGAGAGAGAAGAGATAAATCTATATTTAAGTGATTCTGAAGTATCTGAACCCTGTGAATTTTATCTTAGGTGGAGAAGCAAGTGAAATAATGTCAGAATTTTCCTGTAGGTGAAGGATAGGGAAAACATGGTGTAATTTTTAAAAAGAAGAAACAAAATTTTGAAACAGACAATCTAAACTGAAATTATCAAGAAGCATTAAGCATTGAGATATTAACAAGGAGACAAAAAACAGCCAGCAATGCAGTTCAGAATGAATCATGTCATAACAGTATTATTTTTTTCTTTTTGACACAGTAACAAGGCTTCATGGGAGAAAAACATTAGTTGTCAGAACTCATCTTGACTTTTGGATTACTTCTGACATTATTTCACATGACATTTTCAAAATCAAGCTAGGATGGCATTTTTCAAGTGTAATAAATATAAGAGATATGAACAACTTGTATAACTACTCCTGAAAATCCATCAGGGATTCGCTTTCAAAGGCAGACAATGTCCTGAATGCATTCCAGGCAAATGCTGCTTCTGCTCTCTATTTTTATTACAGACAAGCAAAAACTAGAAATACAGTTTGATTGTTACATGGATATATGATAGCAAGTCACAAACATTGGAATGGAATTTCAAGTCAGAGAGCCATCTTTGCCCTTATCCTTACTGAACTTCAAGCAGTTATTTACTTTTCAAGGATCTGCTCACACTTGCATGGAAATAGTTCCCCAAATGAAACAGAGACTAAGAAATAACAGTTGAGGTAGCAGCTTGATTATACTGGACCCCAACAAGCTGTCACTCAACACTGGTCTTGGGGAGGTCAAACTTCATCTTGTCTTTGGTCAGGAGAAGGGATCTGAGAAGTTTTGTGATTCATTCCAGGCCTGCAATTCTTTACATTTCTGAATTATATTTGAATTATTTTCTGTCTTCATAAAGCACTCTTTGTTAATCAGCACAGCACTCTTAATCAGTATATAAAAGCTAAATTCAATTTTCCTCATTATTTCATTGGAACATGATAAAACATAAATGCTAGTTATTTGCCATATCCTTTTTAGAATTCAGTATGTTCTTAAAGTGCCTCATTAAGTGTACCTATGGCCAAAAAACAGAAAGAAAATCAGATGCTAAGGAAGCTTAGAAGAATGAAACGCAGGTGATGAAATGCAGGATTTAATTGTTTTTCTTCTTAATAAGGCTATTATTTATATTTTTGTGGTGACCCCTTCCCCTGTAGATATTGAATGTGGCTCATTAGCATGCTCTAATACTTGTGTAATTTAATTTCAGCAAGTAACAGTTCAGTTAGGAAGTGTCACTTCCGCATTTCTCTGGATCATCTTATGTCTGCCCTGTAAATCATACCAGCCATCAGCAGCCACCTGGATCCCAGTTAGAGACATTAGACATCCTAAAGACCTTATCTGAGCTGAAACCACCAATGTGACTCCAGCTCTGTGGTGCACTGGATGTGCTTTAGTGGTGACAAGGCATGAGGCAAAACTGCAGCTTCATCAATTCAGTTTGTTAGTGCAGCAATATTTACAATGCAACTCATCACTTTTTTTTTTCCTGCTTGTTGAAGAAAACTGCATCCAGCCCCCCCACAGAGGCAGACTGTCCTCTGCAGCTGTGGGAGCTCTGACCCTTTGTTGGGAAAGTCATGGGGCTGGAGACTGAGAAATGCTGCTTTCCTGCATGAAATCATCTAGCATCTGTTGGAGATACACCACATCACTTAGTTGGCTGAGAAATAAGAAACCATTTCAGAGCACAGATAAGGTAATGATAAAGTGGTGCACCTTTACTAATTCCTCACTGATATAATTATGCCACATCAGTCCCAGCCTCTGCTTCAAACTTTCTACGGCAATTGCCTCCTTTATTTTTTATTCTTTGTAAA